CGGGCGACGAGGCTGAGGCCGCGGCCGAGGAGGCGGCCGCGCGATTTTCGCCGCCGGCTGAGCCCTCGCCGGAGCCCGGGCTGCCCGAGGTGGCAGAGGCCGCAGCCGCCATAGATGCCGCCATTTTCACGCCGACGACGGCGCCCAGGAAGGAGGAGGGGCGAGGGGTCGGCCACGCAGGCGCAGGAGGCTTCGCCGCGCGGGACGCCCGGGGGAGGAGGAGCGCGCGGCCCGCGGCGCAGGCGCACACGCTCTCGCCGCCGGGGGCGCCCCAGCGAGAGGACGGGGGCGGGGCCCGCCGCACAGGCGCAGAACCTCTCGCTGCACAACGCTGGCGCGCAGCCTTCTCAGCTATTCCCGAGATCCCCCTGCGGGCAGACCCGCCCCACCGGGCTCCTGCTCGCCGCTGAATCTATATTCTACAGGTCAAGTTCTTCTTTGAAAGTACAAAAATCAGATTTGGCTTAGACACACAGGATGCGCGGGGGACATTAACAATTTAAACCTGAATTCCAAAACTGTGGAATTCACAGCTAGATGTGATGGTGCACACGTATGTATAATCTCAACACTCTGGGAGGGTGAGGCAGAAAGATTGCAGATACACACATTAAACACAGGACCCAAAAGCCTCGTGGAACATGGGGGTGATTCATCCTTCCATAAGCAATGGGTCAAGGCAGAAACTGGCCCTTTTGAAGAGACGACAGTTGCACTTCCCTTTGTTCTGCTGTGCTTTCCCCAGCCTTCCCCCAGCTGGCTCGCGGGGCCCTGTCCCCGCCTTGCCCAGCTGGCCTGGATGAATGCAGAGTCAGTGTGAGCGGCAGGGACACTCTCTGCACCTGCCTTGCGCCTTACCCTGGGCTGGGTGCTCCGGGCCCTGGAGCCAGACCTGGCCTCAACCCTGCTGCAGACCCCGCGTGAGGTGCCTTGGAGCAAGCTCCTTAACTCAGTCTTCATTTCGGTTTCTCCTGTGTTTCACACTGGCTGCCGAAAAACGACTGCTTAATCCATGTCAGCTCCAATCCCTGGAGCTGTCTTGACCCTTCTTTTTTTTTTTTTTTTTTTTTTGTCTTTTTTGAGACAAGGTCTCGCTATGGAGTCAGACTAGCCTTGAGCTCACTTTCTAGCCTAGGCTGGTGTCGAACTCCCAAGGATCCTCTTGCCTTAGCCTCCTGAGTGCTGGGATTACAGGCGTGCGCCCCCACGCCCGGCTTGTCTTGACCCTTCTGACAAAGTGACCTGGGTTTCTTCCCTGTGGGAAGGCAGGATTCCCTTCCTCACCTTCCCCTAGGGCATGGTCAACACTGCGGGAAGAAAAGGCAGATCAGCAAGAGAAAGGCATAGGGATTTGTTTAACAAAGTTCCACCTGACGTAGGAGACCGCAGCGGTGAATACCGAAAGGCTCCAGGAAAACTGGTGGATTTTTAGGGTTGGGTTCCATGGAAACTGAAAGCCTTGCAGAAATGTGATTGGACAGAAGGCTGTGATCTGGAGCCCAGCCAGGCCTGTCCGGGCTTCCTGGCCTCTTGTGGAGGAGCCTTCCTTCCCCTCTGCACAGTGCAGGACCCCTCTGAATACCATTTTTTGGGTTTTGTTTCGTTTTGTTTTTTGCTGAGAATGGAACCTGGAGCCTCATGCCTGCTACGTAAGCCCTCCACCGCTGACCTGAAAACAGGGTACATTTTTGGCTGGATATGGTGGCATACGCCTGTAATCCCAGCACTCAGGAGGCTGAGGAGAGGGATCTCCACCCGTTCAAGGCCACCCTGAACTAGATAGTAAGATTCTATCCGCCAAAACAAAACAAACAAATGTACCTGTTTTCTGCCAGTCACGCTGGCACCTGCCTGTAATCCCAGCACTCGGGAGGCCAAGGCAGGAGGACCATCGCTCCAGTTCAAGGCCAGCCTGCGCTACAAAGTGAGTTCAAGGCCAGCCTGAACTGCATAGTGAAACCCTGTCTTAAAAAGCCCCCTTCCCCAAAAATGTACCCTGTTTTGTTTTGTTTGAGACAGGGCCTTGCTATGTAGCTCAGGTTGGCCTTGAACTCATGGTGATCCTCCTGCCTCAGCCTCCCACGTACTGCGATTACAGGTGTGTGCCACCATTCCCAACTCAAACCAATTTAAACATTATACAATATATATATATCAAAATGTCACACTACCCCATTAAAATATATTTTTTAAATTTTTACATATCAGCTAAACAGGAATAGTACACAAAAACAGTGATTACTAATTTCTAATAGCAATGGGAGCCAATTCTAAAGTAAACTGGACGTAGCCATGTGGCAGGCCCTGCCCCTCACCAGCTGTTACCCTGGGCTGCAGGGCTGTGCCTAGAAATAGGGCTTTTCATTAGGCCTGCGGTCCCTGCAGCCCTGAAAAACTGTCCTCCCCATCTAGAAAGCGGGGGTGGAGGGAGAGCCATGGGCCTGGGTATTATCTCAGCACCCACCCAACCCTGGCAGTTTGTGAGCTCTGCCCCCCTTGAAACCATGATGAGCACCCAGATGTTCCCTGCAAGAGTCCTCACCAAGATCCTAGCAGCTGAGAGTTTGTGCAGAGAGGAATTCCTGCTGGTTTTCTGGCTAGAAGTTTCTAATACTCTTGGTATGGTAACTTAACTTCTCTGGTAACTCCAACCAGTTGGCTCTGATGGTAACAGCTGGTATGTATGGTCCTCCTATCAAATGCTTGCCAGGCACTGCCCTGGATATGTTACATTGACACTGGCTCCCTACTTGACTCCCCTTTGAGTGGGCCCTGTGGTCTCCTTTTTTTTTTTTTTTTTTTTTTTTTTTTTGGTACCGGGAATCGAACTCATAACTTCAGGCTTGCCACGCAAACACTTCTGCCTCTGAGCTATATCCCCGGCCCCTCCTTTCTTTCTTTCTTTTTTTTTTTTTTTTTTGTGATGCTGAAATTGAACCCAGCCTGCCAGGTCAGTGCCCTACCACTGAGCCATTTTCCAGCCATTAAAAATTTTTTTTAATTTAATTTTTACTGCTTATTTCTTTCTTTATTTTGCTGTCCGGGGTATTGAGTCTCGAGTCTTTGCACTGAGTTACATCTCCAGCCTTTGTTTTTTATTTTGAGGCAGGAGCTTCCTAAGTCCCTAAATTGCTCAAGCTGCCCTGAAACTTGTGACCATCCTGCCTCATCCTGGTATGGGCCACCACACTCAGCTAGTGGTTGTTTTGTTTTGTTGTCTTTTTGAGACAGGGTCTCGCTATGCAGTTCAGGCTGGCCTTGAGCTCACTTTGTAGCCCAGGCTGGTCTCGAACTCGCAATGATCCTCCTGCCTCAGCCTCCCGGGTGCTGGGATTACAGATGTGTGCCACCATGCCCGGCTGCAATTCTATTCTTGAATCGTCTCCTTAGAGCTTTAACAAGTGTCAAAATAATTTTTTCATTATCGATGTGAACTAACTCATTTACCCTCCTCAGCAGCCCATGCTGTCGGTAACCTAACTAACCTATTTACATCGGGAGGGAAGCTAAGGAAGGGTGGCCTTGGGAGACACCAGCTGTTGCCACCCCAGCAGTTAACACTCGATGGGTACCAGCTTCTTTGGGTGCCAGCGGGTCGCGCCAGCTCACCTTCTTTGTTTATTTTTTGAGACAGGGTCTTGCTGTGTACTTCAGGAGGAGGCTGGCCTCGAACTCTCAGCAATCCTCCTGCCTCAGCCTCCCGAGTGCTGGGATTACAAGCGTGCGCCATCACCCCCTGCAGCTCACCCTCTAGAATACTAGCCCCACAGAGAAAGCAATCCCGACCTTTTGCCTGCCATCCTCGAGTGACACTGTCTGGCGGCTGGCTGGGGCTGAGCCTAGCAGAAGCCCCACGCAGCCGGACGCCGTCTCCTAGCAACCTCGCGGCGGTCACGTGCCCCCGGGGTCACATGGCGCAGAGCCGAAACGGGGTTGGAGCCTGCGCAGCGGGCGAGGCGGGGCCGGGCAAGTTTGTTCCCTGAGTTTGGAGCCCCGAGGTTCCCGCGGCTGTCGCGCCGGTGCCCTCCGCGGGGGTCGGGATGGAGCTTCCGGCCGTGAACCTCAAGGTGGCCGGGGCGGGGCGGGTGTCGTCGGGGCAGGGCGCCGGGCCCTTGCGCCTGGAAGGAGGGTGGGAGGACGGAGAGGCAGGGAAAGGCGGGAGGTGCCGCCCCAGGTGCGGGGGAGGTGCGCCCCCGCGCGGGCGGGCCGGGC